TCGACTTTGGCAAGTATGTAGAAAGGCCAAACTCAAAGGTCGTGATGGTGACCTTGGGAATTAAGTCAAGTTTAAATGTCGGTCTCACCTTTCCCCTTGATGAGTAGTCTTGGAAAATGGAAAGTAGATCAAGGCGAAGTTCAGTTACCTCAAGTTGTTTTTGATGACTTTGGGAAATAGGTAGAGTTGAAGCTCAAAGATCGCCATCTCCTGGTCGACTTTGGGAATTAAGTCAAGGTGAAGTTCACAGTTCGCCCATCTCTTTGTGGTGAGCTTGGAGGATAGCCCACGGTAGAGTTCAAAAGTTGCTCGCCGTTTAAAGGTTGCTCACCACGGTCATGGTCTTGAGGGGGTGATCGAGGTGAAGTGACAAGTTGCTCCCTCGCGCCATGACTTTGAATCAACGCAATGTCATTCGCTCTCCGGTGGTAACCATAATGAAACTTGACAATGTCAAATTCAAGGATGTACATTTATAATAAGAGCCTCTCTTACGAGTACAGTATTCAATATTCATTCTGTAAACATGCGCAACAACAGAGTTGTAACTAGAAGTGACGGAAAAGCCTTAACTATGCAGCAGAGGCGAAGAAGGAAGGAAAAATTAATCGGCCGGATGAAAGAGTTAAAATTTAATGTGGAGATACTCGAGACTAATAGAAAAATGAACACCTAGGTTGCTGATTGGCCGATCCGAAAGGGATTTTTCTAAATTTATTGCTAACTTTCCACGTGTCAAGATTGTCACATTATGGTCTGCAGTTAAGGTACATAATTCAATAACTAACATAGTGGAAATGCGGCTAGGTCAGGATTCTGAGATCTCTTTGGCTCTCTAGGCTCTAGGGATACTGTGTTAAAGACGAGAATATGCCATGAATGACGGGAAAAGTGTATTAATTGCTAGCACGTAGCACGTTTAAATTTACACAAAGAGAAAGTACAGCAGAAGTAGAGTCATTATAGAAGCTTTCCAACTTTATGTTCAGATGTGACCTGATGCTTGAATTCCGATACTGAAATACTAGCTTTCAAAGAGAGGAGTAGCAGCGGACGCAAAACGCATTGAATGACTCATCTCGTTAAAGAACATACAGAATGAATAGCATTGTACTTACTATCAATACTGTCGATTCAGATACATTGCGGATGTAGATTTGCAAATAAACATTGCTCTCGTTTTTAGGATAAATGAGTACTATAACTGGGATGGTGCGAGTACTAATTAGAAGTGCAAAAATAAGAGTTTTCTATCTACTGCTCAAAAAGTCAGTTTACTTTGGAGGTCAATTTATGTCTACCTATCAAAATCAACAAAATTACACAACATTACTTTCCACTCCTCCACTTCAGTACCAACTATAATCGACGAAGATATACAATGGGTCGTTAGGCACAAACCCAACCTTTTTTCGCTACCAAAAACCGCCACACTGTTCAAAGTTGGCCCTACAAGATATGCATCATATACACGAACGATTTTGTAAAAAAAATGAAGATTCCAAAATGCTTGGGAATGGCATGTTTTTTTTAACTTTTCGAAAAGTCAAAATGTGCACGAACAGCTGCAAATGAACCATACTTTACTTTCAATCTGAAAAAGAAAGTTTGAAAATTCTCAAACAGTGGACTCACCAAGATCGGTATGGCCAATTTGTTTCAGAATCGAATGTAAGTCGAAACTACTTCCTGTTTTTACGACGATCTAAATGCAACATAAAAGGATTTCGAATCTGTCCAAGTATTTACAATGTAAATAAATACCACAGCGGAAATTACAATAGATAGTCACGAGTTTAACGGCGTTAAATAAATACTACAGCCTCTTGATAATTAACAAATGATACCTAAACATTTGTTATTGTTGGTCATTCTTGTAAATAAATAGGAATACATACCTAAATTGGTAGGAAGTTACGTGACAATAAAGCTTGAATTCCCAATTTGTATCAGTGTTCCCTTTTTGTTGAATGTGGAATAAAATGTTCCTTTTTTATTTAACAAAATGCACTCGTGCAATTTTACCAATAATGAAAATGTTGGTTATTCTGTAGATTGCTAATGCCGTTGCGCACTTCAAAAAGAACGATCTAATAACAAGATGAAACACGTGCGCACCCACTAATATGCACTAAAAGCATATCCGAGTGGAGTTAATTGATTAAAGAGTTGGTTAGTTCCACACGTTAATAAAGTTTGTACTTACGTAAATGAAGTTTTCAACTGCTCACGATAGACCAGTTTTGTAAAACAAATGCTGCAAATGAAACAAAAAAAATCCACAGAATGATTCAAACAGAGTGTTTCACGTTTTCCCAACAAAATCAGTACACAAATAAGAAAATTAACGAAGCCATCTGCGGTTTTTGTCACATACCAGACCATGTCGGAATGATTTCCGCCCATTGACGAGGTGGATGAATAGTTTTTATAATTGTAATTAAAAATTTCAGAAATTATTTTCATGTTCAAATATTCTCAATGCCAATATCCTTACGTCGGAATAAGAATCTATTTCGCACTTCCCTTCAGGTATTTTCAATTGATTCAACAAAATCAAAAAGAAAAACCACCCACGCAAACCTACAAAAAGGGTCTCATATTTTACCTTTTCCTTGAATAAATTAAAATTGTCTGCAACTTCTTGTTGCGTTAATTAGGAACGTCTACACTCTACGGGGTGTAACACCTAAGACCCCTCGGATCATAATTCCTTTACCATAAAGGATATCGACAAAAATCTAGGAGCTTTATTGTAAAGAGTTGTTGATACGCCACTGGAATACAGCATGTCACTGGCGACAAGAAATATTTTAGAAACATGACGATGGTAATTGTGCACAATTTTTTTCGATATAGAATTATGATCCGAGGGGTCTTAAATGCTACACCCTGTATAAACTAAAATAATTAAAGATGGTTGTAAAAAATGAGCAGTAGAGGAAACTAAAACCAACATGTCTATAGGTCCAAAATGTTTCGTTACGCCGCAAAGGCCCAACTTTTTTCTCGGCAACCATAACACATAGAAGGTGGGAACTAACGACCTTTTGTAAAAACAATCTACATCACTGGAATGCAAAACAATTCTAATCCCGACGGAATTTACTGGTTTAAAAAAATTCTAGGTAGAATTTTGCGATTCTTGACCGGACAGCAGACATGAAATCTGCTGGGTACACTCTATGTTTTTAAGAACAAAACTACCCAACGGTATCCAACTTTGCAAAAAAAAAGTAAAGCGCACTTTTCCGACCAAATCTCTGCAGTGCATTGAAACATGCGCTCGCTTTGCGTAAAAGTTGCCGCACATTATACTGAAGTAATTTGTTATGACATGTGTTTTGCGCATCGGAAATTATTTTCAAATTTTCCAAAACTCCACATAGTGTTGCATCCATCATCTATTTGCGATGATAAAGAATATTATAGTATGTCTTCCGGAGACATAATATTGTAGCGAATATTCCAGAGCGACATCGGGGTACCATCAAGTCGGTAAAGGATTAGTCATCGGCGATAAGGAATAAAGGCGGATGTGTTTATTAAGAATGTTCTAAAAGTTTTAATTTTAGTCTCAAGATCGACGTCGAATTGAAATAGTGACATTCGGGCTCGTGTGTTATAAATCTGAGTACAAGCGAGTGAAATAATAATGAACTGTTATAAATCCATTTATTTAAGGACTGTTATACGTTCATTAATATATATGTCATTGACTTGCTCAGTCAATTCGCGCAACGATTTATTAAAACCAGTCACAAAATTTCAGAAAAAAATTGTCCCCATACAAAAAAGTTATGTGCTCCGCATGCGCAATCCATTTTATGACACGTCAGCTTCAATTTGCTTTTATAGGAACGTTCTTCCGCTGATATTTCAGACGAATTGGAATAAAAATAAGTCCGCACAAACGTAATAATTTTCTTGCATCACCTTCCCTTAAACATCTGTCTATATACAAAAAAAGTTCATATTGGATCATGTTTAATCCTGTTATTATGAGATCAAAGGACGACCCGTAGGGGCGGTCATAGGTAGCTTAAGGCAAGTGCAGTGAGCAAGGGGATTCGAGGTTTGGCTCGCGGACAGTGAGCTCAGCGCTATTTGTATGAGCATGAAGTTGAATATTTTTAGAGTGTAAAATAATTTAAGCGATCCATTTTGTTGCAAGTTAAGTCGAAATTGTGAATATTGTGATAACAATAGCGCGGTAAATAAGTTAGCCGCCGTTTCTAAAAACACCGATGGTGAAAACCGTAAAACAGTCCGCCACTGAGTTGCACCATAAATCGAAAACTTTCCATTTATTAATGATCGCCAAAGAAATGTAACGTATTGTTAAAAATTGCAGCGCATTGTTTCTTTTTTGCTTGCTGTAAGCTGGGCTGTTCAAAAAACCCCATCAACTACCTGAATTCTATTAGAACAGCCGAGCAGTGCAGTACATCGAACAAAATGCTACAGTGTGCTTACTAAAGTGTAGAGGTCGATTTTCTTTCGTATGTATGTTTATTTGTGCACTTTGCTCCTGGGCTACGTATCGACTCTAAAAAAAATTCTCAAAGAAATTTAAAGTAGGTAAAGTAAATTGCACAACTTCTTAATAACTTCACTGTATGCGTTTAGCAGTTTAGTCCAAACTTCAAATGCGCATATTTCGAAAACGGAGTGTCGGTAGAGCGTACTTACAACAAGAAAGTCGAAGGTAGGGACAAGATGTATCAGTGGAGTCGAAACTCAATATTTGAACTATACGTTTTTGAGTCGTTGGATGTGCTGGCAACATCCATGTGGGCACTATACATGTTGATTAATTTTGCCCAATTTTATTGCGCTAAGAATAAGAGCGAGGAGGTACATGCTTACTATCGTTATGAATCAAATCGCGAACTCCATTATCAATCAATTATTAATAAGTTTTTAAGAAGGCGGATATTGATGTTAACTAACGCGCCCAATAATTCTCGAATATGAAGTTAATTAAAATTTTTACTGACCTTTTATTATGTTCCAAATTGATGATGCAGATGAAACCAAGGAAAAGAGTTCTTTCATAATTTATCTGAAATAAAAAGGAAAACATATAAGTATTATAGTAATAAAAGATCGTTTTATAACATAAATGTCCAGTACTAGAGCCCTGTGGCACTCCGAATAGTCAAAGACAATTGGCCATTATATATAAAGACCACTACCCACTACTTATCAGTATATTTTGTAAATTTCGTAATTACACACTTAACGAAACATGAAAAATCGAAGAAATGCAGGGTGAACCGTCCTTTTTTTCGATCTTACAGAATACATTTTTACGCATAACCGCATTTGCCCGAACTGTCCCAAACGTAAATATTAAGTTAACATAAAGTGAAACTAATGCATTTCGTATGAATATATTGACATATTTATAATCTTTGATTGATGAACCGAATTAGCCACTTCAGTTTAATTGAATTTGTTCTAAACTTCAAACTCTACATAAATAAATTATTAGCTGCTTTCTAATGCTTATTTGTTGTTCGTTCGTATATCTAAGGGAGTGAAAAACAATACCGTATTGGCAGTCCAATAGCTTCAAACAATTTTCGTAAGGGTATATGCCCAATCAGGCTCTCAGCGCATTACACGATATCTACTGATACAATGAATCAAATATTATTACATCCGGCTCATGCTGTCAACCAAATATCAACCTCTATTGTGGTGTGTCACAGGGATCTGTGTTAGGACCAAGTAAATTCAGATTGCAAAAGCAATTATCACACTTCGCCCTCCTAAAACATTAAATGTAACCCATAGAGCGTTGGTTCAGTTCACTCTTGATACGATACTCATAAAAAGAATTTGCCTGTAATTACGGAAAAGGCCCGAGTTAAGGCCTTTCAAAACATATGTCTCTTGCCAAACATAAAATTGACACAATGCGTTTGGTAACTCAGCAAACGTAATTTGCGAATGAATTCAGTTTCTACACAGCCTCCCCTAAAAAATATTGGCCAAGACAGAGAAGGCCAACAAATTTCACATAAGTATAATAAACGCACAATAAAAAGATACAAAGCACCCTCAGTGCGTATTATTCCTCCAAAATGTTATACAGATGGGGCACTTACCATTTTTGAGATTGATCAAGCGCCTACAATTTAAATTATCCTCGGAGTGAAGACCAAGAGCACAAAGGAATCTGGTTTTGTATGAAATTTTAGGAAAGCTCGATATTTCAGAAAATATTGGAAAACCTTATGGTCAAAACGTGCACAATTGATATAATTTTAATTCCATCCTTTCACATAAACAAAAGGCGAAATTTTGGCTTTCAGTTACAATTAAAAATAATTTTGAACTGAAGAAAGAACAAACACCTTACGAAGAAGCCAAATTCATTCATATACCGGTTGTAGATAACGTGTAGATTACAAACAGGATGCTCCACGACGGATGCCGGCTATCTTTATCTCGAAAAAAAAGACCTGGGAATATTTTGAAAATTTGTACTTACGTTGTTGATAAGAAGAATTCATCTACTATATTTTCAAGTTGGGGAGACTTTCGGTTAAATAGGAAGTTGTTTCAAATGAAACACTCTATATACCATTTCATTCTACGTAAAATTCTATAGCATTATAAATTATATTACTTGTACATGCATGTTATTATTTACCTAAGTAATTGGGACTAGTTTTTGTTTAAAAATTTTTCGAATTTTTTTTAGAGAGCAACTGAATCTCGCCGACGCGACGGTTTAGAATTGAGGCACAGGGTAAGACCTTTTCCACTTTCACATAATTTTTTTCAAAAAAATCAAATTCTTGACTGGCCATTTGCCAAATGTCATATTTTTTTAAACTTTCAAATGGCACACCCCTCAACAAATTATAGTTCGAATAGCCAAAACTGCAACATTTCCAGCGATACCGAAAAAGACCCAGCGAGTGCAGGTTGCGGCGAGGGGTTGATCACGAGGGAAATTCTTGTCCATCAGATAGGAAATTTCGGGGAAAATAGCTGGGAAATAGGTAGGAATATTAAAGGAAACTCTGGAGAAATATTAGTATATTTTAAGGAAATAGAAAGATTCAAAGGAATGAGGAGATTCTCGGGAATTATTACGAAATTTTGAGGAAACCTAGAGGAAATGATAAGGAAATAAAAGGTTTCCATAGGGAAGTAACGTTACGCATTTCACGTTAGTTCGGAGAAATTTTGTGTAAATTTGGGAAAATTTAAGGCAATGTTAGAAATGTTAGGGTAATTAATTCTCTAAAATACGTTGCGACCAACTCCGAGGGTTTGATCCCGAGGGAAAGTTTTGTCCCTCATATAGGAAATTTGGAGGAAATAGCTGGGAAATATTGGGAGTTTTTGGGGAAAAAGAGAAAATTTTAAAGGAATGAGGTAAATTTAAGGCATAGCTAGAAATCTTGGGGAAATTAAGTAAAAGAATTATGATCCGAGGAGTCTTAGATGCTACACCCCGTATACCTTTGCATTCACTAATATTACAAATACCTATCTAATTAAAATCTTTGAAATATCCAACTGACATATTGAAATGCCCACTGTCATTACTTCACTTCTTCACATTCTTCCTTTCCGCCCACAAAAAGCTACGCTAAAAACGACTAAAAAGAAAATTCCAATGTTGGATGTTAGGACTAGGGATTTATACCATGAGACTAACAAGTGGGAAATTAGTTTTTAAAATTTCGTAAAATTTGCGCCAAATTGTCGAATGAGATCGGCTAACAAATGATCTTGAATGGTCGAATAGTAGGTCATTGTTTAATGTTGCATCTTTTTAAATAATGTTGGGGGTCGTTATTTTCATGTTCAAAGATCAGATACCAGATTTCGTTGAGATTAGAATTTCTTATTCGCACCACTATTTAGGGGTGTCATTTCGGGGTAACATTTTGACAAAATCAAAATAGTTGTACCAAAAAACCTACGCAAGAACACTAGCATGTTAAAGATGCATAGAAAAAATCACGGGAAAGAGAATTTTGGAACTTTAAACGAAAATCACTTTAGGCACTTAAAAATAATAATAATAATTTTATTCAGTTAATAATAGCAAATTACCATCCAAATATTCCTGGTGGTTGTAAAAATTTTGGGTTTACTTAGGTAAGTACTTAATTTATTTCGTTCTGGAGTTATGATGCGGTGGATGCGGAAAGATGAGACTGGGAGAACAGACACACAAACAACAAAAGTGTCCGCTATTTCTCAGCATACTAGTAATAGTAATAATACTGTTAATTAAAGTTAATAGGGTCAAATCAAAAAGCGTTTTGGTTACGACCTTTAATCCAATATTAATTGCAATCATCCCTCCTAAAAGAGCAGGAACATCGTAGCATTTTACCGAAATTTGCATATTTAGTTGACCGTCTTTACATAAGTATTCAAATATACGTGATGTGCAACTGATAAATGGCAAAATTGTTTCACAAACTGTCTTAATGGCATTTCGCATCTCATTAACATTGTATAAAAGCGTGCACTTACGCTGTTTTTTATCTTCCTCTTGTGAAACTCCCACGGCCACAATAATTACCGAAAGGAAATATCACACCCGTTTTGAAGCACCTTAAAACGTATATGGCCAGCCACATTCTGAGGCCAATGCAAAAAATGTGATTAGTGTACAATACAAATACGGGCTTTGTTGCACAGCTGACAGAGCAAGACTATAACTGATAAGAATGTTTAAGAATTAAGACGAAAGCATAATATCATCACTTTTGAAGCGTACCTGGTATTCATTTTCTTCTGTTCGAATTTCAATTACGTATTCCGCACCACCATTTCTACTTATTCTTTTTGCTTAGCAATTAAAATTTTATTAAAGTGACACATACTTGCGCTACGAGTGGTAATTTTACGGATTATAGTCATAATTAATTCTAGTGGGCGTTCCCCGAAAAACTTGCATAAACACGCATACTAGATTTGCCCTGCCTGCAGGAGTTCAAAACCATATCCGACAGGAATCTGTACAGGCGCAACCCTTAGTAAAAAATACCGACGAATTAAAAACTAATCTTGTATATCAAGCAATTTAGAAATTAAATATTAACGTGATTATTGTTTTAATGTCATTCGATGACATCATTGTATATCCTTTTCGGATTATACTTTAAAGCTATTAGGAAATAATTAAATGCGATTTAGAAATAGCTTAATGAACGGGCACTACTTCGATTGAGACACGGCTAATTTCCATAAATCTTTTCAATTTCAGTGTAAAAATGTCAAATGTGTCAAATTTTCGGAAAAAATTAACACGCTCTTCCAATTTTGTGGAGTTGTCCGATTAACTTCCTTGTAAGAATTGTCGGATAGGGCTAAGAAAACCCTCATCCTTTTTACCGGACTACATGATGTGGGGTCGGCGACATCTGGGCGCCATCCCTGAGGGTGTTTACAACGTGGTGAACGGGACGTCGGAAGTGGGTACCGGCAAAGGGAATGTGGTAGCCTTTGACAAGATCTTACTGATGGTGGAGTTAAAACTGGCTAATAGAATACTGTTGCAGTTTAAAAGGTTATTTTAAATCTAGATCGGTGTAAGAGCATCACTGGCAAAAAAATGTATAATAAAAGTATTGATTTACCCCAAAAAGCCGCATCTCGTTGAGAAATATATAAAAAATGGCTTTAAAAATTTTTGTTATCGTAGCGTCGTTGTCAGACTTCACAATAGTCACTTTTCGGGAATAATCCAAAAAAATTAGGAAAAATTGAATTACGTGTGAAGATATTTTTTTTTAAATTTCAGCATTCCTTCCATTAAAAGCAAGTCGATTCTTTACGATAAACATTGCAAAGGTTGAAAGGGAGTACTCACAAAGGGAAAATTATAAATGTCGACGGACGTATCCGTCAGTTGGATCAAAACTTCCAAGTGTGAATATCACCTCCTCTAAGAACCAATTTCACCATTATATTGAATTTGCTTCGATGTATATCAATAACATCATTTTTGTGTTAACAAGAGGGAAACGATTTTTCACTTGCCATCAAAAATTCAAGGCGGACACAAGGCATTGAAACACC